AGGGCCTGGCCCAGGTTGCCCAGAGAAGCTGTGGCTGCCCCTGGATCCCTGGAAGTGTCCAAGACCAGGTTAGATGGAGCTCTGAGTAACCTGGACTAGTGGAAGGTGTCCCTGCCCATGGCAGGGGGATTGGAACTGGATCATCTTTAGGGTCCTTTCCAACACAGGCCATTCTGTGATTCTGTAACTCCCCTAGAAGATGAGCCCCTCTCTTTTACTCCCTCATCCTCAGTTAAATGCACAGGGGGAAGAGCGGCCACGTGAACTCTTGGCTTTTCAAACTGCTGCTTTCAAGGAGTTAAGCGTGGCCTCCACACATCCAAGCACCCATATGTTTTCTCCAGCTGGCTGGTTGCTCTGTGGAGTCTGGTCGGGCAAAATGACTCTTCCCATCACATAAAGATGAAGGTAACGCTCCACACGAGCGTCGACATCCGTGAGATTTCTGCCTGTTTTGGTCCTCTTTAATTAGGGGCTGTTCTGCCTCATTGGACGGGCTGGTGTAATAGCTCGGGATCAGAGCAGCATAAAGATTGTCACAGCTTGAGGAATCTTTGGAGCAGTGGGAGGTAATGATCCTGCCTGAGGCAAAATACCGCTCCTGGCATGTTATGGGGCGCTGTGATTCTGTCCCACACTTCATTTAATCTTTTTTTTTTTTTTTTTTTTTCTCCAAACGCTGCAGTTTAGCCCCTGAAAAATGCAGTGGTTTTATGAGTATATTCCATCTTCACAGTGATCCTGTGATTCCTGTTGGGTGTGAGCAGGGCTGGAGGGTGGCACTTAACACACGAAATGCCAGTTGAGAGGTTCCAGCCCACGCAGTTTGGTTTTCCAGGACGTGACAAACAATCTCTCTTTTATCTTCTTAGGATAAAATTCTTTATCCTGAGAGTCTCTTCACCTGGAGGATGGAGAAATTCTTAGGATAAAGTTGGAGTCCCCTTTTCTGCCTAGTCCACCCCACCAGCTTTTGCCCTTCCACGAACAGTTTTGGGAATGTCTGGTCTGTTCAGCCCGAGTTCAGCAGTCACAAGACAGACTTTTTGCTTTAGACTTTTGCCCCATGTGGAATAAGCAGTGTTTTCTTCTCCCTGTGTTGTCACAATTCATTTTACTTTCTAGTTGAAAAGTAAATGAAAGAAAGAGCTGAAGGCACATTTGTGAATAATTACACTTGCACCACATTTCTGCAGAGTTTGATGGGTAGATTTATGTGCAAGATTTTATTGTTTTCTTTCAGCTTCATTATCCATCCAGTGTTTGCAATGGATTATGAGGTGCTGTTGTAGATTACAGAGACAGAATTCTAATGTTTCATCTGGAAATGGAACACATAGATCTTTTTTTTCTGTTGCAATGATGTGAAATGATGGTAGACTTGGAAAACAGCTAATTAGGGGTTTTTTTTTCAGGCTTTCCTGCTGGGATGACTGTGGGTGTAGTGAAGTAAAACCTTCACCCTGCAAGTTGTCTCTGATTTCAGTCCTGCAGCACCAGGCTGGGGGGTCCCTTGTCATGGTGGGACTCATCAATCAAGCAGTTGATGTCGTGCTCTGAGGGGTTTTGTTCCACCACTGATCAGTTTTACCTAAATTGACACACGGACAGGGTCAGTCCCTATTAAACACGTGATTTTGGAAAACTCACTGGATACCAGACTTTTGTGATGGCCAAGCCATGACTGTTCTGTTCCCCATCCCTGTTGGCAGTGATCAGAACCCAGGGGGGGCACAGAATGACTCCCCAGGTTTGTCGTGGCATGTTCAGAAGAGTGGGAGTCTAAGAGAGGGAATTTGGACTGAGCCTGAAGAAATCTTTCAGGGAAAACCTTGGAATAGCTGAAGGTGGTGGGAAAGGTTAGAGGGGTTCATTTGTTATGGTGCTGATGAAACCAGATCCCCTCAGAAAGCGGGAAGTGCAGACCAGTGTTTATCAACCCTCTTTTAGTTCTAAACCCCACAAGCCACGAGTAGATCGTGAGTTTCAGTCTGCTGACAACACTCTGACAGTGGCTAACCATAATTAACCAGTAAACCCCAGTGTAATTAGCAGGGTATGATATATTTTAATTCACTAGGCTGCTTTTAGTAAAGCAGCTCAAGGTAAAAGCTGAGATCTTTTTCCTTTAGACAAAGCCCAAGTTGGCACATCACTGAATTTTCTCTTCAGACTGACAATTCATCTGTTAAAGTATCTGTGCTGTGGCAGCCATCAGTAGGAAATGTTTTGGGGAGAACTCCAAGAACATCCACTCCCAAAATTTAGGAAATACTCCATCCAGCTGTTTTCGGTTTAACACAGGACTTGAAACTCTTTAAGCAAATTTATCTCTGTAACTATATATATATACTCATATATTTTCTCTATATATTCAAATGTGGATGTACTGTTTATACATATATATTATACATTTATACATGTTTATAAAAAGAGAAAGATGGGCATGGGGAGAAAGAAAATACAGGTGTGTCATCATACATTATATACAGATGATATACCTGTCATTTTATAATGTACATTAGGCATATATGTGTAATCATTGTTTATATATTGCCATGCCATCTGCTAGTGATGAATTTTCTCTTACTCATATAAATGTCTTGGCCCTTTTGAACGCTCCTAATTTCTTAATCACAAGTCTAAGTCACGGCTGAAAACTTCTCATCCTACCATAGTGCTGGGAAAAAGAGAAATCCACAAGGAGCTCATAAGGAATTTTGGCTTTGATTTCAACAAAAGTGGGTCAAAAAAAAAAAAAAAAAAAAAAGGAAGTCGGGTCTTAAGATGTTGTAAATTGTTATTGTTATCTGCAGGTGCTGTAAATGATTGTAGTACAACTGATTTTTAAGGCAGTGATGGTGATTCACATCAAGCAAAGATTTAACTGGCCTGGAAATTTTAGAGAAAAAAAAATCCTAAATGCTGGATTTCCTTAAGTCTCTGAGATCTTAACATGAGATTGCTGAGTCACTGTTGAGAGTTAACACAGTGCTGAGACTTGGCTGCAGTGGGGAGTGAGTTGTACAAGCCAGATTTCATCAAGAGGTACCAAACCAATTGTGTCTGCTCGTCCACCCATCTGGTTTTCCCTATTGACATTTCCAAAGGACGGGAATTTATATGCTGAGAGGCTGAAATCGGTGCATAAACTCTGCTTTTATTTTCTACTGTTCAGTTGCTTTTAACCCATAAATACCAAACCAAAATCAGTTCAGATTTCTCCTGGGCTGTGTCACTTCTGACCTTCACATCCCCTTCCCTATGAAAAAAAACCCCAATAATTGTATTTCTGTACTTAAGATGTTTGTATTGCTTGAATAGTTGCACAAATCATGCAGATTCTTGCATTAAATGGATGTGGAAGTGTGATGTAATGTTAGTGGGATTGATTTTCCTCCATACAAATCTTTGTTTTGATAATTTAGCTTTTTATTTTACTGTATAACCAAAGTTTTGGTGAGCTCTCAAGCTATTCTTCTCATCCAGACTTTTTCTTCTTACATTTTCATCTTTCTTCTTAATTGTTCAAAAAAGTAAAATAAAAATTTAAAAAAAAAAAAAAAAGTAAAATAAAATAATAAGTGAATATTTCTCTCATGGTAACACAGATGTGTTTGTTTGGTTGTTGCAGTTAAAATAAAATCAGGCTGGAATTTTGGAAAAACCTTCCCTTTGAATATTTGCTCAGCTTAGGGCGGTCATAGAAAATAGACACAAAAACTGAGTTCTGAGGAAGAACAAGAAGTAAAGTCACAAAATACTGCAAGACTTCATGCTACAATCATGGATTGGTGTCCCAGGTTTTTAGTGTGAAGGAGAGAGACAATGGGAATGAGTTTCTTTTCGTTTTAACAGTACATTGAAAGCGTTTCCTTTCGTTGGCGTTACCAATACCTGGGGATGAGCATCCCCAAAGGTATCAATGTCCAGGATAAAAAGCCAAGTGGTTCAAAAGGGACCATTTCCCCCGGTTGCTCCAAGCAGAGCTGCCTGCAGACTCCTGGAGTGACGTTCACTGCAGGATTGGGATACAGCACTTACATAAGTGAGTTGAACAAACGAGTTTATAGGGAAGAGAAACTCGGCGGCGTGACGGGGTTAGTGGAGCGAACACGTGCTCTCACTTCCTTAGTCCAGGCAGTTTTTAGGGTTATCTTCCCAAGGAGGGCAGGGATTTTGCCAGGGCTGCACTTTTAACATGGAGGTGGGCGAAGCAAAATTTAGCAAAGTCGGCTGGGTTGTCCACGTGGAGGCCGAATGCAGCTGAAGGGGAGGCTGAGGACTGGGAATAAAGGAAGGCAAAGAGCCAAGGACTGAGGATGAAAGGCAACAACAGAGCCTGGAGAGAAGTGAGGGAAGCAGCACAGTGGTGGAGAGATTGGACATAAATGATTCAAAGGGGAAGAGCAGTAAGTGTTGAAAGGGATGAGGCAGGAAACAAGTGAAAAGGATGGAAATTAGCCTTAGGAGATATTATCTCTTCCTCTGATGTGGGAGGTGGGGTAGGAACACGGTCTTAATCCCTACACTAAAATGTTTTAAGTTGCCTTTGTTTTAGACTAAACACAGGATCAAAGAGTCATTTAGGTTAAAAAGACCTTTAAGTTGTACCTTCTCTCTTCCCCTCACTTTTAGCTCCCCAGGCAGGGGTGGGACTTGCTGGTGTGACTCTTGGGAATGGTCCTGTGCAGGGCCAAGGGTTGGACTCGTTGATTTTGTGATTCTGTGCTCAGACAGAGGTGATGCTGGGTGAGTGCTGAGCACCATTTGGATGCCCACTCCTGAGTGCCCAGCCACCTCCAGGCTGTCACGTTGGCAGGGGTAGGGGGGATTTGATCAGCTGTGTCTGACAAAACTGGTTCCACTTTTTAACCTGAACATGCTCCTCATCGTCACGGCCGTGCCTGTGAAGGAGAAAAGGGGCAGAGTTTTTCACCCGTGATCGTCACTGTTGGAAAAAAAAACTGTTGACGTTTTCTTCTGTTTTCCTTGAGCAGATGGGCAAAAGAAGGTCCAAGAGGAGTTTGACATAGACATGGATGCTCCAGAGACAGAGCGGGCGGCCGTGGCGATACAGTCCCAGTTCAGAAAATTCCAGAAGAAAAAAGCGGGGTCCCAGTCCTAGTAGCTACCTCACAGCGTGGAAACAAAGCAACCCCGAAATGATTTATCGAAGAAAAACCCAGAAATAACACAAAGATGCATGTACAGAAACGATCAGTATTTAAAACCCCATCGGCAGATAACAACCCCGTGAGCTTGTCGTGTGACTTCATCCCCAGGTGTTTTCACGCCCGTTTTACCCTCTGTAACTTCACCATTTTCCTTGATGTTGTAATAAAGAAAAGTTAGGGTGAAGTAATGAAAGCGTCTGCCTTCATCTGTCTTTTCATATTAATGCAGCAAGTGCAGCGTTACAAATGAGCCCAGCCCAGATGCCTCTCCCCCCTCCCCACTTGGAGCTCGGAGACAACGAGAGAGCACCGTATGTTGCAGGGTTTGTGCTGAGGGATGAGAGCGCTGCTTCCCTCATTTGGAGAGCTCCAGCTGCCAGCCAAATGTGACAATAAAAAAATTACTTTCTCCTGATGAGCTGGAAGTTAAAAAAAAAAAAAAAAAAAGTTGCAGGCAGAAGCGGGGCGTGAGGGGAGGAGCTGGAGGAAGCAGCGAGCACTTTATGGTTGTCTTGCAGTTGTGTCAATAAAAGGGGGTTTTAAGTGGGGAGATTGTCCCCTGTCCTTCCTCTTTGCATGATGACATTCAGAGTTACCCAGCTTGGGCCACGTTGACTGTTATGGAAAAAATAAAAAATTAATAAACCGGACACAAAATTAACTTTGGAAGTTTGGGGTTTGATTTTTATTCGTGAAAATAGAAACTGACTCTCTAAGCTGTGGTTCTGATGCAGCTTTTCAGCCTTGAAATAATCAGGAACTGTTTCTATGCCATCTCTCTCTTTTCGTATTATTTTCAGGACTTGGGGAGTAAATTATAACAAACTGCCTGTCTCCATTTAGTCTATTATGTATCAATTGTGAACCCCCTGATTTATCACTGTGTTAGCCCAGCTCTTGATTAACAAAAAACAGCCACAACAATGTGTCTTAAATTGAAAAGTATTTCTGTTTTCTCCCTGTTGTAAAACAGCAACAGACCAGTTTCAGATCAAGTAAGGACCTTGTTTGCCTTCAGACCCGATCAGGAACTGGCTGCCCATATGGAAGGTTCAGAGAAGATTTAATCAAGTACCTTGTACTCAGAGAAAAGGAGCTATTTAGATTAAAGTGGGACATGAACTACACAGAGATGGTTTAAAAAAAAAAAAAAAATTAAAAATCTCATCCTCTTCTTGGCTTCATCAGCAGATTTAGGGATTCCAGCAGATATCTTTGTCCCTAGGGAAATGAGAAGCGTTTTTTGAAGGATGTTTGCAGTGGTTCCAGGGAGGCAGAGTGAGCCTCACCTCCAGGCTGGCAGAGGCAGGAGTGCTGGGTGGTGACAGCCTTGCCAGCCTCTCAGGGAACAGCCTGGAGCTGGGACTCCTTCAGGTGTCACTCCCAGCTTTGCCCAGAGGGATTCTTTTCCTCCTCTCCCATCTCCTACCGGAGGATTCTGATCACCAGGGACAAACCCATCGTTATCCCCCTCATGTAAACAGAGAGCTACAGCCAAGGGGTAGGAATAGAGGGATCTCATGCCAGTGGCATTGGCTTCCCATGGGAATGCTGGAGGGGTGCAGAGGAAAGGCCCTCAGCCTTGTGCAGGTGAAGTCACTTTTGGTGCTAGGCAAGAGTTTAGTGAGGAGCCCAAAGCTGGTGGTGGGTGCCAAGAGCTCTGGCACTTTGCTGGCCACGAGGAGCCCCCAGGGGTGCTGAGCAGAGGAAGCCTCGTGGATCCTGTGGGTGATGCAGAAGGCACATGCAGAGATGGCATGTGAGGTGCTTAATAAGCACAGCCCAAGCCTGGGTGGGAATGGAAGGGGCTTTTAAGAACTTAGTTTGGGCTCTGTGTGTGTCAGGTCCTGGCCCCACACAACCTACCAGCTCACCCCCTGCAAAATCAGAGCTCTCCAAGCTGCAGCTCGGTGTTTTCATTCTAGCAGCATATTTTTCTTAGCAGCACTGTTTCTCTGCCCTCTAAAAAACTTCCCAAATAAACCTCCAGCAACGCCGCTGCTGTGCTCAAAGTGTGGTTTGTGGAGGCCCCAGTTTCCCCCTCTTGTCTTTCACAGCGACTGCTCACCATATAATAACTGCCTTAGCATAATCATTTAAAGATTGTAATGGGTTTGGATTGTGTTGGTGCCATTTTGTTTAGATGAACATATATTTGTGGTAAAAAAACTGCATTTGTGTTCTGCATTATGTCATTTGAAACAGCATGAGCTCTGTAATGGCTACTTAATTGAATAAAAACTATGGGTAAGCACTAGGCTTTTATATTTGATCTGACATTCCTTGGACTTAAATTTCCTACACAACAGGAATAATCATATGGTTGGGACACAAAGAAAATGATTACATTATTGAAGCACAGCAACAGGGGCTGTTAGTAAATGAATTATGGCTCTTTCAGCAGCGGGGCTGTCCTTCAATGGGAAGTTCAGAGTGCATCTTACAGAGACAGCCTTAATGCACAGAGACACATAATCAGGAAATAGTGAACTGGCATGGAATTTGGACTAATTGTGGTTGCCACTGTCAGATAATTTCCTTTTTATGTAAATGTTTTTGCATCACAGATTCAGTTCATAATTCCCAGGAGAGCTTTCTCGCTCCTGAGTCTCGCTTTTCGCTCATCCTTTGTCCATATCCAATGTAGAAATTGTTATTTCCTTTCTCATAACTAAGTTCCACTTTTCAAAGACCTGTCTGGGTTTTGCTGAGGTAAGAAAAGGAGTTTGATTCAACCAAGAGGGGTAAAGGAGGACACTTAAACATTCCAGGGTCTTTTAACTACCAGGCACTCACTGAGCTCTGCAATTCACTGCCACTGCCTGAGTAACCAAGCCATGGAAAGAAAGATTTAAATGGATATCTGTGCTGATAAACCAAAAGTTCCTGTAGGTAACACGAAATATTATTCAGAGCAGCAGGTTTTGCAGGAAACAGGGTTATGGCTCCCACCACAGACACCCACAGCCTCCCCAGACACATCCATGCTGCTGCTGCTCCAAATTACTGTCAGATTATCCCAAAAGAGAGTAACCTACAGTTGAGTGGTCAGAACAATTGCCTGAGCCTCTCAAATCCTTAGTTCACATCGTTGCCTGGGCTGTAAAATGACCTGGAGAGGTAAACACAGAGGAGGCTATTAAAAGTAAAGAAAAGCCATCAAAAAGCACAGGAATGCCCACATGAGGAAAGCAGCAAAGAATGGGAAGTCTGTCAAGCTAAACACAGAAAAGCAAGCCAAAGATAACTTGTGGGGCGGTGTGGGGAAATGGAGGTCTTACAGAAAGTAGGAATGAGTCTTGGATTAATGCTCAGAGCAGAGGCTCCCACAAGAGGGGCCTTTTTTTGCAATGCATCAACCTGGGGATTTTGGGGAATTTGTTGGTGAGCTGAAGTGTCGGTCAAACAGAGTTTGGAGCAACCTGGCAAAATCAAAGAGTCATTTGAATTAGGCCATAAAATGGTTTGGGTTGGAAGGGACCTCAAAGATCATCCAGTTCCACACCCTGCCTTGTGCAGGGACACCTTCCACTAGCCCAGGTTGCTCAGAGCTCCATCCAGCCTGGCCTTGGACACTTCCAGGGATTGGGGCATCCACAGCTTCTCTGGGCAACCTGTGCCAGGGCCTCCCCACCCTCACAGGCAAGAATTTCTTCCTAATATCCAATCTCAACCTACTCTCCTAGTAAGTAAGAGATCAGCAGGACTGCATGAGGTGAAGGATGTCAGATCCACAGCAGCTGTCCTTGTTCAACCCCTTGCTCACAGTGGCCCAAATTCCACGGGAAATTAATAACATATTTCAGAAACATTATTTAGAAAGGGCTCTAGCAGTATTTAGAGATTTACACAAAGCAGCTTCATTAGGAGGCTTGAGAGCAACTCTGATGTGATGTAACACAGCTGTGATGCATCAAGGCCAGCCTGACAGCAGCTGGGATTCACAAATCTGCTCGTGGACACTGCTGGAATAAACAGGTGGGTCACAGTAACCCAGAGGCAGCTGGATTTTCGGGAAGTTTTAACAGGGCTCCCATGAATGCCCCTTAGGGAAGCTGAGAGGTGTGGGGACAAATGGTCAGGTCCTGTCGCAGAAAAACAAGTGGTTAAGGGACAGGGATGTGGGATGGCATGTCCAGTTCTCACAAGCACTTGGATGACACCAGTGGGACTCCAACAGCATCTGCGCCGTGCAACGTTCTTAAAAATCACCAGAAAAGGGGGATGTTGGAAAGTAAGGGGACAATTTGCTTTCTATATGAAAAATCTCACTCTTTGCTCCTTACAGAAGGCTGCCTGAGGCCCACGAGGAGGGGAAGGTCATCTCAGGGCCATGAGGGCGCTGACAGCCCTGACTGCCCCTGCCCACAGTTGGGGTTCCCCCAGCCTGCCCATGGCCCACGTTTCCTGAAGACCCACGATCTGGCAGCAGCCTTGCAGCAGCAGCAGCTTCCTGGGGTGTCTCCTGACAGTCAGCAGGACTGCTGTGGGGCTGCAAGAGATGCTCTGACTCTAGCAGCATCTCAGTTGCCATGATTTTACCACTCACTCCGTTTCTGATCTGACCTGAAATCTTTCTGAAGGTGGGATCATGAGACCCAGGTCACTGGACAGGCCTGGGCTGGTCTGGGGTTTACTTGCAATACTAAGGGATTTGGCAAACCCTAGATTTTCTTTATGGTTTAGCCTAAATTAAATATTCTGGATTGCTCACCCAGATGGTGTTGGGGCACTGCCCAGGCTCCCCAGGGCAGTGGGCACGGCCCCAAGGCTGCCAGAGCTCCAGGAGCATTTGGACAACGCTCTGAGGGACAGGGGGGAATTGTTGGGGTGTCCTGGACAGGGCCAGGGGTTCCACTTGGGTGATCCTTGTGGGTCCCTCCCAACTCAGGATATTTTATGATTTTATGATTCTTTTTTCATACACATGTTCACAGCTCAATGGGAAAAACAGGAGAGTGTGCTATCGATATGATTAAGTTAATATTCAGTCATCTCTCTCCTGTAAGTATTTAAATGCAAATATCCTGCTCAGTCTGAAACGAGCAGAATTCACTTGTGTTGGTTTATATGTTCAAGACAATCTTCACAGTGAAAAGATCCAGGAACACACCCTAAAAAGAGAAGCCATGCCATTCCTGATCCAGTAAAGCCTAGTCACGAATGGGTTATTTAGCTCAACTCTTAAATTGTGGCAGTGCTTTTTTTTTTTGGTTTTCCCCCCTGGTTTTTTTTTAATCCCTAAACTCTCCCTGACAGATGGTCTCCTGCCTTTTAGTATCTCTAGTGATGGTGAGGCTAAAACCTTCCTTGGCAGCTTGTTCCGTGGCTGAACTTTTCTTAAAGCTGTAAAGGTTGGTTTGTACTTAAAACCTAAATCCTCCCTCCTGCCATTTAGATTAATTTGTTCCAGTCCAGCTATACCCAGTTTCCCTAATCTTATCTTGTAGGTCTCCTTTTCAACCCTTCTCATTATTTTTTGTTATTCTCCTTTGAACTCTGCCAGTTTATCTGTGTGCCTGAGATGAAATGCAGCCACCCAGATGAAATGGAACCAGTGCCAAGCACAGCAGAATAATTATCTCCACTGTTTTACGAGTGATGGTCCCCTCACCACAAATTTACATGGCTTTTGGCATTTTTTGTGACGGTGTTATTTTGTTGGCTCGTAGTCAGGACATCATTTCCCGTGAATGTGGAGCCTCTCTGAGGTCTTTCTGGTTCGTCAGGATTTCCCCCTTTTATCTTTTCTGCCACTTCAGTGGATGTAAAACACCTTTCTTCATTTTATAAACCCCCTCTCTGCAGCGCTGGGAAGATACAGAAATCCAGGAAAATGTCTTTTTCTGTAGCACTTTGTCCTTCAAATCAGTCAAGAATTGTAATTGGTTCCTTTTTTTTTTTTTTTTGTGCTTTTTCATTTTCTACCACTAAATAATTACTGTCAGGTGCAGAGGCTTCAATGATCTCTAAATCAACCTTTTCTGGAAGCTCAGAAAAGGTTTCAATGACTTCCTATTTTATTCTCAAAAGTTAACTTGCCTTTACTTGTGATGACTAATTATTTGATAAGAAGTCTTCATATTCATAGCTAAAATTAGCTCTTGAAATAAAGCCTGAGGACTCTTGCCCCTTCTCAGTGTGTTGTGATTTAATGGGCTTTCAAAAAGGCCAAACTGATACTATTACTCACATTCAGTAGTAGTTTCCACCATAAATATTCCTGATGATGTCTTAAGGACTAATGTGACAGAGGGAGGGTGCATTAGTGGATGATCTGTTGGCCTCATCAAGTGCAAAAAGTACAGTGAATTTCTGTGCTTAGTTTGCAGATTTTGGGCAAAATGATACCACCGTGTTTCTTGCAGCATTGTAATTTTCTTGTTTCTTGGCAGCCAAGCCTGCATTTAACATAGTGAATTATTAAAAAAAAAATCCCTAACCACAAGGGGATGGCAATGATTAATTAGGACAATAATAATAATTAAAGCAAGGGGAAGTTTGACAGGTCTGCAGAAGACTGGCACCACAAGAGCAGGTAGTGACAGGACAAGGGGGAATGGCTTCACACTGAAAGAGAGTGGGGTTAAATTAGAGACTGGAAAAAAATCTTTACTGTGGGGATGGTGCCACAGGTTGCCCAGAGAAGCTGTGGCTGCCCCTGGATCCCTGGAAGTGTCCAAGGCCAGGTTGGATGAGACTTGGAGCAACCTGGGCTAGTGGAAGGTGTCCCTGCCCATGGCAGGGGGTGGGACTGGATGATCTTTGAGGTCCCTTCCAACCCAAACCATTCTGTGAGTCTGTGACCTCTCCCAAGCACGTTAAAATAGTTCAGATCAGACACACAGGTGACACATTTCCTTGTGTCTGAGGGGAATACCTGGCACCTTTCTGCTGGTGGGACCACACCCAGTTGTGGTGGCAGCAAATCATCTCCTCTCAGCAGCAGGGAATGTTTCTGGCCCCCTCCCTGCCCAGGGCTGGTGCTGTCCCACTTTCCCCACCTCAGCACAGGTCATGCAGTGTCTGGTCCCCACTTTAATATTACATAGAGGTGCCCTTTATAATACTATGTTAAATCTCTAATTATCAGCTATTTAGATAAAACTCAGCCTGGTCCTGCACAACCTTGAGGTGGGGCCTGCTGGTGAGGACACACCAGCCTGGCTGACCTGAACAGCCAAATCTCGTTGCCAAAACACCAGGAAGGCCAAAACCAAGCCTCAGCATTAGAGCTTGGAGCTGATCAGCCACAGG